ACACACACACACACACTCTATGGGTGCAAGTCCAACCTGAGCTCGGCCTATAAATAGGAAAAAAAAACCTGATGCTGGGGCCGAATTGACTATTGATGTGTCGAGACCCGACGGGCTTGTATACTTCAGACCTCTTACTACTTCTATTTTAATCTTTGTTTTCTGAAGGATTCAAATAGAGTAAAATCAATAAAGTGAAACAAAATAAAATAAAATTCAGTGTGAATGTCAAGCCGTTTAACTGCATCACTTATGTAAGCAGATGTATGTTACGTCTTGAGCAGGTTGGTTTGTCTCAGTTAAAAGATATTTGAATGCAAGACACTGAAAAAATAAACATAGACATATAGTAGCAGAAAAGAGATGGAGGGAGGGGGAAAATCTTCTGTGTGGATTGATGAGTCATAGTGCCGAGTGAGGTCGAGCGAAACACACCCAGATGCTTTCCTGGTAAAGGTGAAGCGTGTGTGTGTGTGTGTAGCTGTGTGTAACTGTGTGTAGATGATTCAGTACTGACTTTGGAAATGTATCTTTGACAATGATGGTTTCTTTTTTGTTTTTTTTCTTTACTGATTTACCTTTTTCAAACTGGAAACAATCAGTATTTTTTACTTTTCATAATTAAAGATCAAATACCCTCTTCAAGTTTTACTTAAATTCCATCTGCCCAGTATAACTACAAGCTTTGCTGTTTTTATTTTTTATTTGAACACTCCCTTTGTTTATAATTCAGGCTTGTAACGTAATTTCTTACTGGTGCTTTTCTTGTGTTTAGGTTGCCTTTGTTCCAGGCCAGTGCTTTTGCCTTCCTCGCACCAGCCAGAGCCATCCTGTCACTGGACAAATGGAAGTGTAATAATACAGGTAATCCCTCTCTCTTCTTCTGTCTCTCACTCTTGACTTCAGTACAGACACTAAAACATTGTGATAAAAACTGTGGATTATTGTGTTTTCTTCGATCCCAGCACTGTCAACATCAAAGCCTAAAAAGACAGCAGAGAATTAAAACGGGGACCCAAATGGGATTATCCACTTTATATCTTTATATCTGAATAAATAACTGGGGTTATGATTCACATATTGATCTAATTAATCTCTCATCTCGTCTTTTTTTTTCCACAACCAGAGGTTCCAGTATTTAACAGCACAGAGCTCTTCCACACAGAGCACATCTGGCACCCCAGGATACGAGAGGTGAGGCAAAAAATGAAAGATTCAAACAGACTTGAACGGTGCATGGGAAGGGAGCTTGACAAGTAGAAGAAAGCAAAACTGGTTAGATGTGTTGGGAGGTTAAAAAAAAAAAAAGCTCTAAAATATGATTTGTGTACACTGAGATGTTATTCAGCATAACTCCTTACACAATTTTTTACACAACTATAGTTAAATAAAGGAGGCTTTCTGTGTTTTAAGGTTTTTTTTTTTAGGCCTTCAAATAGGAACCTCACTGTCTGTATATGGCTGCAGGGTTCGGTTTTCTGTGACAGGAGCTGTTAATTTGTGTTAACCTTTTTCTGTTTGCGTAAGCCAGTTGAGTAATTGTTTTTTATGTGACGTGTAAACAAGACTAAACTCAATCAAATTGAATCAAATTTTCGAATGGGACAACGATGGGCTGAGGGCAGTACAAACGTGCAGGTGATAAAAGGTGACAGAAGAGAACACAAAGACAAATAAAGACAGAACAAACAGGATTATCACTCAGAAGTATCGAATGGAAACTGGATGACTGGTGACTCTGTAACCCTGTCTCCTCCAACCATGATGCAAACAAAATGTTCCTTGGTGCTGATTAATTACTGCAAAGCACATCTACCATGTGACCGATCAGTGCTGAGCTGAATCCAACAGAGCCGTCACATTTCGTCTCATGATCAGTGTACATGGTTCCAACAGTCCCCTGTGTAGACTGTGCTGTGAAATGTAGTTCTAATGCTCATTTTGCCTGAAGCTTGTATTATTATATTTCATGAAAAGGTTATAATTTCTTTTGACATTAGAGGAAGCGCTTTTATTTCAGGCGAGGCAGGGTGTCTCCTTTACAAAGTATTGCGGGAAACCTTGACGTAGTTTTACAAAATGGAAGTATACAAGTTTAATTAAAATGTGTTGTTGATTCAAAGTAAACATAAATTAAAACTGCAGCTGTGTTTAACTGGATTGTTCCATGTTCAGATTCTTCATAACCTTTTTGTTCTGTCAGATCCAAGGGGCTATCATCGTGTCGTCCCTGGTCGAGGTGTGTATTGGAGCGCTGGGTCTGCCCGGACTCCTGCTGAAGTACATCGGACCGCTGACCATCACCCCCACTGTCGCCCTTATCGGCCTGTCTGGTTTCCAGGCCGCAGGGGAGAGGGCTGGAAAACACTGGGGCATTGCTATGCTGTAAGTCTGCACTCTTATGCTATAAAGTGATGCTTTCACCTTAACTGCCTACTTCCCATTACCTACCTACGTCACTGTTCACCTTTTATACGTTCGGTGTGTTCTGATGATCAGATAATGCTGCAGGAGTGGTGGGACAGGTTTCTGTAACATTTAGATATATATTTTTGTCACAATGGGGAAACTCAAACCGTCTCATTGTTCTCTCTTGTTAAGGAACCACTTATATTTTTCACAGCCACGTGTTTCGTACAAGGTTTAGACTGTAAAGATAGGATTAGCTCCGATCCACTTCAAAGCTGTGATATTCATGTGGTGTGACATCAGTTCCTGCTGTGTCATGGCTGTTTACACTGTAGCTGGAGGGCCTCTCTTCTCGCTCCACAGGGACAGAGGATATGTGCCTGTAATTGCCACTGATTTGCTCTTTCTGTGGCGGTTATGATAATTGATTGGCTCTGAAGCCTCTGGGGTCCTAGTTGGACGTAGATGTGAGGAAATGGAACTTGTTCATACAGAATTAGCTCTCTCACAGGAGAATTCACAGTAGAGAAAAGAAGACATAATAAGACTGTTTCTGTCTGCAGGACTATCTTCTTGGTGCTGCTCTTCTCACAGTATGCCAGAAACGTTCACTTCCCTCTGCCAGTCTACAAGGCCAAGAAAGGCTGGACTTCCTATAGGCTGCAGGTGTTCAAAATGTTCCCTGTAAGTATACAACTTCTTATAAAAGTACAAACATAACACAGCTTTTTATCTTTTGCACAAACTGTGTCTGCACTCTGATTCCTTTTCTTGGTAAATATTCAGCTCTTTTAATGAATTGACCTTGGTTTCTTTACAACTGGCCCCCTGCGTCCACCTCAAACTGTGTTCCCATCTAAGTCACAAATTATTCAACAGAGCTAATCTCATTCTCTCTGGGAGGTTAAGAGGTTTTCCCTTTGCGTGCCTCTTTACAGTCTGTAAATCAGTCTGTTCCTGCCCTCTGCTGGTGATATATGAAATAATGAAAACGCTCATAAATTCACATCAAGTTACCTATCTGTCTCCTCAAAAGGTGTCCCAGTGCTGTTTTGATTTTCATTAGGTCACGCTTAACTGTAAAAATGCTAAGTAGGCATTTTGTAGCAGCCAACATGCCAGAGTCCTGGAAGCTGATGACATGGTGAAACACTTTTAAACCAACTCTTACCTACATTTAGTTACTATGGAAGTTAAAATTCAGTTTTATTCTTTATTGTATAGAGTATGTACAAAGAAACAACACTGAATGTATAAACAAACAAGAACATTACAACAACACAAGTCTATTACAGGCTATCAGAAAATAGTTATGGATGAGGGAACAAAGCCCCTCCTAAAGCATGTGTTTGTTTTTTTTTGTTTTTTTTAAATGGGTTGTCTGTATCTGCGGCCAGGGGGGAGGAGGGTAAAGCATGGGTTGGATGAATAATACTGGTTTAATTAAAGTTTAAAGTCAAACAGATGTTAGAGCATCTCTTTCTTCTTTAATTATGTGACGTATTTCTGAATAAGAGTTTAGTCATGAGAGTGAATCTGGTCCCTTACATTTGATTTAATTGTTCAGACGTGGTTGAGTAAATATAGTGCGTGATATGGAGCTTTAGAGAGAGACGGAGCTGTAGAGGACCTCCCTCTCCCACAATTAGACCAAATCAGGCTCTATCCAAACACACGCCTCCCTACTGTGATATTGCTCTGTTAGCTATTACCACCATTAACATATATGTCGATAATTACAACCCACAAGCTAATGCATAACTGTGACTTTATATATTTATTTAAAATAGATAACTTGATGTAAATGCAACCAAGTTCAGGATAAATTATCAAAAATAATTGTAGCAATTTACAGGAAGAGAAAAGAGAGATATTTAAAAAATATTGTAACAGATAACAGAACAAAAGGATGTCTGATTATAACTTGTAAAATGTGTTTATTTTACTTTAATGTGAATGTCTGTCTGAGAAGTGTTTTCTTTTCTCTTGCGCCCAGATCATCATGGCCATCTTGGTGTCATGGCTGCTGTGTTTCATTTTTACTGTGACTGATGTTTTCCCGCCGGAGGTAGACAAGTACGGTTTCTACGCCCGCACAGACGCACGTCAAGGAATCCTCGCCGCCGCGCCGTGGTTTAAGATCCCATATCCCTGTAAGTGTGGAGCTGTTGGAAAGAATTGTTGATGTTTATGCCTGGTACTATACATAAGCTTCGTTTGACCCAACTGCAGGTAGCCATGTGTGAGGATAGTGAGGTTTTGGTTGCACTCAGTCAGGTAACCACACAGTGTCAGAAACTGAAAATGAGAAGCACCATTTAATTCAGAGTAGAGCTGTTGATTGCTCTTCAGTGCCAGTACGTGAGCAGAAAACATTTTCCTTCGACATCGTCTGTGAGGAATAATGAGCTTAATGAGTTTAAGATTTGATTTGACTTTACTGTAATTGCACACTGAAAACTTTCCATTTTATGCTTATTTATACTTCTGCTCCAAAACATTTAGCTTTTTATTTAAAATCAAAACAAAATACAAATCAACTAATAAGTTATGATACATTATAGGTTAAGATACCCAGCAGTGTATAAAGTAATTAAAATTAGCTCCACCTCTGCCAGCTGCAACATTACAGTGATGTACACATCATGTATAAATATTTAGGGGATAGGTTGTGTACATAAGTATAAAAATAAAAACATTAAGACTGTATGATGCCTCTAAATATGGACCACAGTTAAAACCTTGCCAGAGGCGATGGGACAGAGAGGATTTGTTTTTGAGATAGTTTTTGTGATTTTACCTCTACAGTCCAGTGGGGCGTACCCACTGTAACAGCTGCAGGTGTGATTGGCATGATGAGTGCGGTGGTGGCCAGTATCATCGAATCGATTGGAGATTACTACGCCTGTGCACGTCTCTCTTGTGCCCCTCCACCTCCCATCCACGCCATCAATAGGTAACGCTTCACTTTATCTTCATTCTGTTCCGATTTACTCACAGTTACTCATAGTGACGCACAGGCAATTTACTGTCTGGAGGATGTTTTAATTAGGTTGTTTTTCCGTTCTGTAGGGGGATATTTGTCGAGGGTATTTCCTGTGTGTTGGATGGGCTTTTCGGGACAGGAAATGGCTCCACCTCTTCCAGTCCAAATATAGGGGTCCTAGGAATCACAAAGGTAACACAACCTGTACTCAGTTTGTTTTCTTTGTCCTGCCTTTTGGTTACCCTTTCTACATTTATTTTATGTCATGTTTATCATTATACTATTATACATATGATACATAAACCTCCTGGTTTCCCGTCTTCTCTGCACACACCCATTCAGGTATTGAATTTCTTTTGGTTTAATTGCGAAAATAATTCAACTACAGCTGAAATGATAAGTCACTGCATTGATCAGTAAGTTAATTGGAACTTGTTTTGAAAAACCACTAATCGGTTGAGTCACTTGTCAATGCGAAACACTTGCTGGTACGAGCTTCTTGAATGTGAGGATTTTCTTGTTTTCCCTTTTTTATATAATTTTAAATTGAATATATTTGGTTTTGGGACTGTTTGTTGGCAAAATTAGTAACTTGAAAAAGTCACCACAGGCTCTGGAAAATTGTGGTGATCAAAATGTTCTGACATTTATTGACAAATCAATAGGCAGATTAATTGTTAATGAAAATAATTAACATTAACATTAAACCCATTAGCCCTTCATACAAACTGTCATTAAGATGGATGAACCAACTGTGAGATGCATCAGTCCTTCTCCATGATTGGTCTTGTTCATTCAGCTGTTGACTTAGATTACAGTATGTTATGTACTAATTAACTGTAAATGTGTAACGTCCTCACAATAATTACCATGTGCTATAAAATGGTGCATTCTTTTTTAATTGTTAAATATATGTAGCTTGAGACAAAGTGATGATTTCTTATATTTTACCCACCATGAAGAAAGAAATGTATATGATGTTACCTCCATTATCCAGCCCTTGTTCTTCCAGTTAGGGTCAGTGGAGAATAAATAGACTTTATTAGCTTCTTTGATTCCAGCTGGCCGGTTTCAGCCTTTTTAATTTCCTCTTTAGCACACAAACGGAGGCTGTAGGTGCTGTAGGGACTGACTCCCTTTACTCCCTCTGATCTCTGATTGGTCTTCCAGGTGGGCAGCAGACGTGTGATTCAGTACGGAGCTGCCATGATGCTGCTGCTAGGGCTTGTGGGTAAATTCAGCGCCCTGTTTGCCTCTCTGCCTGACCCTGTCCTGGGAGCTCTGTTCTGCACCCTGTTTGGTATGATCACAGCGGTGGGGCTGTCCAACCTGCAGTTTGTTGACCTCAACTCCTCCAGGAACCTCTTCGTTCTGGGCTTCTCCATCTTCTTCGGTCTGATGCTGCCGAGCTACCTCAAACAGAACCCGCTGGTCACAGGTGAGTGGAGAGATCCCTATAAACTGCTTTTCTAAATGTGTTTACAATTGACTTGGAATATTTCCTTGTGCCAACTGTTCTTCGCTGCTGCGATAGACCCTCATGGTTAATTACATTGCTTCAACTAGATGGAATAATTCAGACTCAACTTTCTTTGTTATGAATTAACCCACAGCAGGTATGGAAGTACACACAATGACTAGTTGTTTTGGGTGATTTGTTGCTGAGGAAATTAATTCACTGGTCAAACTAACATGACTGAATTTATGTTGGTCACAGATTTATAAGTAATTTTCAATACAAACTTAATAAGACATATTTTACTTGCTTACTAAGCCTCCGTTTCTTTATCTTCCTCAGGCATAGTTGGAGTTGACCAAGTGTTGAACGTGCTCCTCACCACTGCCATGTTTGTCGGAGGCTCTGTCGCCTTCATTTTGGACAATACTATTCCAGGTAAGGTGTTTCGGCCAGTGTTGGTTTTTTGTTTTTTTACAAAAACAAAGTTTATGACTGAAATAGATGATAATGTACTGGAAGGTTGGCAGACTATGCAAGACATTTTTATGGAAGAAAATCATATCACTCTATAACGTCGCTGTGACTGCCAAGCAGGTACAGATATACGTATAAAGGCAGAACGTGCTGAGAGTGGTTATATATCCGGGAACATCTCAAGACCCCTGTGGGAGAGCTGGGAGAAGGACGCTGGGCTTAACTTGCTGCACCCGGATAAGCAACAGAGGATCAAAGGATAGATGATTCTTTAGGATGGCTGGTCCCTTTAAGCGTCTGACTTTCTGTTTCTTTATCTTCAAACGGATCATAACACTGTAGCATCAAAGGAAATGTTGTTTATCATGTTCCTTTACTTTTAAGGATTTTAAGGAACTCTTCCTTTTCTCCTCAGGTTCCCCTGAGGAACGAGGCATCAAGAAGCTGAAACGTGGCACTGGTGTCAGTGCAGCTGAACTGGAAGGGATGAGATCTTATGATCTGCCTTTTGGAATGGACTTCATCCGCAGACACCCCATCTTCAAGTACATCCCCATCAGCCCCACCTTCACAGGTTACCAGTGGGGGAGGCTACGGGAAGCCTGCAGGAGCCGCATGGGACATGGGGATGCCATGAAGGGAGGAGGAATGGGAGGGGAGGGAGGCACAGCAGCGGGGGAGAGTCGGGTATAGCCAACGGGCTAGTGCTGAAAAATCTTACATGTGGCTGAATTTGGGGAGCAAGGGATGGTACACTATGGGAGAGTGGAGGACAGAAGCGGTGCAGGATTCAGAATTGTGTGGAAGAAAATGTGATGCACCAAATCCCCGTCCGTCCGTCAGTATGTGTTTTCTTTAGCTTGTGTCAGTCTTTTCCCACTTCCCACTATGTTATTTTAAGCATGCTATAGCAAGTCACAGCATGCTATAAAAGATGTCACCATGCAGAGGGTAGTTGGTGTGTGTGTGTGTGTGTGTGTGTGTGTGTGTGATATTGAGTTTGTGCATTACTTTATTTGCACTTTAATCCAGAAGGAGACAGATGGTGATGCTGATTGTTTAAGTCATAGTCACTGCCAACTTTTACTGCCCATGTCATTTTATAAAATATATTCTACTGAAAGCCCAGTAGAATTGATCATGTCAATTGATGGATTATGCAAAATGTCTCCTACAAATCATTTGCCTCTAGACTCATTATGCAACCAAATTAGAGATACACACATGCACGCTCACACACCAACAGCCTTCGCCAAAACTAGCTTGTGCGCTACAATGCACGTCAGGGTCATGCAGATTGATGGAAGTGGTTTGTCAGGTGCCCTTAACCATGCAAAGTGATTGTGAAATTTATTTTTGCACTAGCTGCCTCCTGAGTTCAAAACCAGAATGTCACTCCACAGTTCAGCGTCAGTAAAACTCCTCAGAGACCCATTTAGCAGCATATCACATCCGCTCATCTCACGCTAAGACATGTCACATCCCCCTTGAGTGCTAATATTCACCAGATCTCCACTGCAACATACCAGTTTACATCTCTTTACTGTGTCAGTATTATGCAGTAGTGACTAAGAAGACCAAAACTCTACTTTTCCTGAACACACCCATGTCTCATTTGGCAGTCAAATGAGACTTACCTTGTTTTACTTTATTCTGGAGCAGAATTCATTTACAGAGATTTAGAGACTTTTAAGATATTTATTTTTATTTGATAACCTCTAACCTCTTCTAACACATGCAGGCACACAAAAACAAGCTTTTCAGTCATGCCCCTCCTCCCGTGACAGCCGCAGTGCATTTGCAAAAGCTGCATTAATGGCACACAGTAACACAGACATGTGGCCTTTCAGAGGGACTTTGTGTGTATAAATACAAGGCTTAAAAAAAGATGGATGACAACAGGAGAATCTGAATCTCTCTGTGGATCTTCTCTCTCAGTTTTAAGGTGTCACTTGTGCTCTGCTTTTAGCACTAATGTGTATTAATGTAGGATTTGCAAAGGCTGCACCATAGAATAACCCACCCCTGTCGCTATCCAAACCCACTTTGCTGTCCCTTGCATAAATGTACTAAGAAGTAAGGGTTGTTTGGATATGGAGGATTTAAATGTAATAAGAGGGGTTTGGAGAGTGTAAATGTCGTCCTCTCAGATGGTGCAGTTTGTGTGTGTTTTTACAACAGCCAATCATAACTGATCAAGATATCATTAACCATTTTGACTAATTTAATGGTGTTAATGACTTTTCCTTACATTCCTCCTTCTCCCACTCTCACCCACTTCAGTTAGTTAACTGTGGATGTTTGTTACTGTACGTCAGGCTGTAGCAGCACATTGGCTGAGTGACTGAACGTTTCAGAGCGTCGGCAGCCTGTACCTTATTGACCTAGGTGTGACCATGAAGAGCGAGTCTCCAATTTGACCACACTGTGTGCCTCTGGTATTTTAATTGAAAAACAGCCATTTAAAAATACCATAAGAGTCTGCAACATTATAATCTTCGTAAACGTAGGACTGAAAAGCAGCACAATAAGAACTTAAACTAAACTACTAAATATTTAGCCTGATCTGAGATTTTTACTAAACCAAAATGCTAAAAGCTCTTTTATTTTATTCTTATTGTCCTGTTACCAAAACATTTCTTTAAGCATTGGCAGTTGTTGCTTTTAAGAAACTTGCTAAATTAGTTTGAAATCTCAACCCAAATCTTCTCACATTTTTGTCTTGTTAAAGCTATTTATTTATTGCTTGAAGCAGGTTTATAGCAGGTTTATGTGTCTCTTGCACAATGTTGAAAGTATATTTATTAGTTTACGTGTTCATGCCCTGTAGACTGATGGTGGTGTGATCAGCTACAGTGTGTGTGCTTTTAGAAACTCACCTGGGGACAGCAGCTTTTTCTAAAGATAGTTTCTAATGTAAGCTGCTTCTATTTCATTCCATTTATATCATATTGTTTTTAAAAAGAGAAAACACTTTTAACTAATTCAGATGTCTGAGTGAGGGCCTTTATACTACAAGTACTGTTTGCACATGTAATAGTGCCAAGAACGAACATCAGGGTCAGAGTGAGTAAACACTCAGCGGAAACCCTAAAACGTCACTAGAGTGCTTATCCAGATTTATAGAGTATGAACATTTTTGTTTGATGACCTGAAGACTCTGTACCACTTTGTGAATGAATATTTTTGGGCCTTTATGATAGCACTTCTAGCCATGTCAACGCGTGTTATTCTTGTGATTCGGTGGTGGGAAAGTCAGCATATTTTGTACTTGTTGTCCAGAGGTGGGTTGTATATTCAAAGATCTTACAGATGACTGCCCAATATGAGAAAATGTTTTCTAAAGACGAAAACAAATACAATATTTCCAAAGACTGTGGTGCTCCGCTCTGCTCCTCTAATGGCTAGCCTATAGTTCTGTACTGGCAGGGACCAGTGTTGCCCCAAAATCTGTGACCCAAATAGGAATTTCTTGCTATATTGCCACTGAAATCACAGCTATCAACATTTGTGATGTGCCTAAATACTATGGAGGCACCATTCACCTGTAATAAAAACATTTGCAGTTGTAAAATGGATTAAATTCCTAATCAGGTCACATAATCTGATGGTGTAACACTGGAAGAGTCTGTGGAAATGTTTGATTTAAACGTTGGTCTCATGAAATATTTTACCATTCTGACTATAGACGTCTGTGTCAGTGACGGAGAAACACAAGGAGTGGTTGGTGACCACTGATCACCATCCTTCATCTAAATGTTGTCTGAGCTGGGGACTGGCAGCAGGAGAGCTGTACATAAGAAGCACTGTTACGGGCTTGTTGGTGAAATTAACAGTGCGTTATTGACACACCGACTGATGTTTTTGGCTTCGTCGCCCCCACGCTGTGTGACCTCGCTCCGGGAGCAGATGACGATCGAGTAGAGGTCAGAGATCTGCTCTCTTAGACGAGGAGTAAATGGAGGGTGGTTGGACAGTTTCTGTTGGGCCTCTTGTAGTGAATTCTGTAGTACAGCATGCACACCTAATTACCACATGCACAACGTGTGAAACTTGTTTTCGGTGTCATATCATGTTCATGCAACCAGCAATTAATTCTCCCATGGTATCCTCTCTCCTTTCTCCTCTCTCCACACACTCTCTGTTTAACCCCCTCCACCCCCTCCACCCCCCTGCAGTGAAAATATATTGGTGTCCTCTCATGTTAAGTGTATCTGGTTTTTCTCCCTGGGAATTCTTACCGTTTTTTCTGGATGCAGGAGAAGACACCGGCTGGCCACCTTATTAAGAGCCCAGGTTGTTGGCAGCTCAGTGAAACCTGCCTTATCACTTAATGGCACGATGAGCATGTCTTTGTGTTTAAAGACAGCTTCTTCTTCTGGATTTTAAACATTTACCCTCCACTTTGTATTGTACTGTTCTCTCTTATTTGAGAGTTTTACACACTTGTTTCTCACATTGCTGTTACAGAATTAGCCCATTTAAAGTAAAAACACTTTCACAAGCCCAAACTCTCTTCCTTGGTGAGTTGAATTAAATACAGTTACAGTTCAACCAACCAGGTGGCTCTTAAGAAGGTGGCCATAAGGTGTGTAACACATAGACATCAATCCCTTTCAGTTATTTTGAAGGGGGTGCTACCTGAAGAATATACTTTTGTGTATTAAGTGTTTTATCTTTTTCAATGTTTTTATTTTTATTTTATATATATATATATATATATATTGTTTTAATTTTTTTGCAAGCAAATATTTGTAAGAAACAAATCATAACTTTTAATCTTAAATCATGCTGGAAAGCGCACCATTTTGTTGTACTTTTTATTTAAAAAGTAAATACCTTTTGATCCTGTTTTGAATCTGTGGTTTGGTGGAATCCTTTTGTTTCTTTGTTTGTTAGGACCTTTTCATATTGTATTTTTTTACTCTAACATTGCTTTCTGTTCATGTTAACACATTACCAGTATAAATGAAAGAACGAGCTGAGAAACTTTAAATAGATGTAAAAAATTTAAAATAAATGTATATTTAATGGAGTAAAGTTTGCTAAACCTTCTGGAAGAGAAATTGTGTAAACTAATTGTAGCAACAAAATGTTTTATTCTTTGTTCCTAAAACTATTTAATAAGATGTTACAGAATTCATACAGTCTTTTGTCTTCATTGGTCACCAACCATGATTGTGACAATAAAACTGAAATATGGCCCCGGTCAGATCCTGTGACAGTTTGATTTAACTCTAATAAAAAGACTAATGGGTTAATATTGGTGTGCTGGACAGGAAGATCTAAACACTGACCGTCAGTTTCTTCTATCACAGCTATGTGTTACTCTTCCTCTACATCACCTAATTTGATTGGTTATAGCAGGCCTGTGTAACCATGGTGAAATCATTATCAATACCAATATATCTCACATATCAGGTCACAGAACAGCTAGAGTAAAGACATGAGGCCGCTATTGATCAAACACAGGTGGGTAGATGTAGCCAAGCCAGTAGTTTATAGATCAATAGAAAGTTTAAGGTTAAAATTAAGAGATCATATGGATGGCCTTATTGTGCAACTAAAGATGGATTACAAACGAGGTAAAATGGCAGCTTCCCTGGTTCCCTGTTTGTGGTAATGTGATTAATTTATAATGTAGTATTATGTAGAATATGCACTACAAACACAATATCAGCTAACACACTAAGGGCCTTGAGGTGACTCCTGCTTTCTATCAGGTTTTTAGGCTGTTGTAAAGAGGCTACACCTCATGTTTGCTGCTATGAATGCAGCTTCACGGTAAATCACTGTAAACTCAGTTTTAGTAAAAAATAATTTATCATTATAGTTTGTAACATTTCAACAGCTTTGCTTTGTCTGTTGAGTATATGTGACAATTGATGAACAGACCCTAACCAAGATAAGGTGTTTTGTGTCTAAACCTGAACCACAGTAGTGTAATATCAGAAAACAGTTGTTGAATCTCAACTTATTAGTTTCTGAAATGTCACAAATAACTCTCTGAACCATCTGCAGGTGGGCTATCCAAATAAATAATTAATTTGGTTAAATATTAGGCAACTAACAATTACTGTCATCAAAATTACCCACAGCCCAATATGATGTTCTCAAATTCCTTGTTTTATCCAATCAACTATCCACAATCCAAAACATATTTACCATCTTGGGCATTTTTGTCTGAAAAGGGACAGAAACTATAAATCGATTAGCAAAAGTTACTGATTCATTTTCTTTCGACAGCGGTGCAGCTCTTTTAAATATCTTTATAAAACTCTAGTTGTTTTTTTAAAACAAACGCCGTCCCACTATATGTTTTATGTCCGGCTGTTAAACTGCAGCAAGATTTTTAAATTTTGTTTTGTTTTCCCACTTTCGTAGAATCCCATTTCCATCTGTAGAAAAACAAACACAATAGCAAGTCAAGCTGGTGTCAAAATAATATTTTTTTAATCAAATAAATAACTTAAATTATATAATTACATAAAAAATCGCGACATTACTTATACTTGCTATAATTCCCGCCTTCTTTCTTTTTATAAAATCTGTTGTACTTTTTCGGTAAATCAGTAAATTTTGGTTTCCATTCAGTAGTAATGCCCGCCTTCCCCGGACGGACGTTGTGCGCATGTGCGGCTCTCCTATTGTTGTCGTGTTTTCATTCATCTCCGAACGCAGCGCGAACAAAGGCGCGTCAGGACCCTCTGATTGGCTCGCTCTCTGATGGGCTCGCCCTCTGATTGGCCCGCTCTCTGGTGGGCTCGCTCTCTGATTGGCTCGCTGCCGGGGCCCACTGACGCTGCTGTGCCGCGAGCTCAGCCTCCGTCACAACAGATGGATGTCTCGCGCTCTCCTCCTCCCTCCAACAGCTACTGGATGCACGCGCCCCACTGATTGTCTCCAACGGCCGGGACAGCGAGCGAGTTGACCGTTGGAGTTGACCGTTAACGGACGGTTGAACCGCAGCGACGGGAAGAAGAGGGAGGAACCAGGAGAACCAGGAGAACCAGGAGAACCAGGAGAGCCCGCGTCCCCGGGTTTGGTGAGCCGAGATAGGGTCTCCAAAAGTCGGCAGCGTCGATGTAGCTCAGTGGGCAGATCGTGATGTCTGTGGGTTGATGTGGCGATACGGACTGGGTGTAGTTTGATCACCTTCAACACACTTTGACTGGTTTTTACAACATAAAATGCTCAACAGCAACATTTATTTCTTTTCTTTCAACAGATTAATAATCTTGAATCTCATATGTGGCGTGGTTATATATATATTTATATATATATATATTCAGTGATAACATAGGTTTGCTCCCCATAGCACTTTAACGTGAGGGTCCAACCTAAATGTTGAGCATGAAATGTGGATATTATTAAAGTATCTCATCTCATTTGGTCTCTAGCAGGGAGTGTGTGTGAGTAAAACAGGTTACATAACAAGCAGTAGATAGTTAAGATTCCTCTCAGCACACATAAGGCTGGCTAGACAGAGGCAGGGCATCAGGACAGAGACCCTCTGCCTGAATAAAGTGAATACATTAGGCTTTATTAAGCACACTTACATAAAAGTACTGCAAGTCCTGCCTTTATAGATCTTATAATAAGCTTTGTAGAGGGTTTGATTACCATGCGTGGTCATTTTCTGATATTTAGTCTCTGAAACTATACAAACAAATGATCATAAAGTTTAATCAACGCCCGTAAAATCATGAACTGAACATTATAAAAAGGATTTTGCTACGGCTGCATGACAACATATTGCGATATGATTCATGATCGGTGTGGGAGTGATGACTTCTCGTACAAATTGTATTACAAATTTAAATCATGATGATACGAACTTCATTTGGGTCTTTCACAAACAAACATGTTTTCATAAATCTGGAGAACCAGATTTGTAGGCCAGGTAACCACCACTTAGTTAGTAGTCACGTTCAAAAAGCTTAAACCAACGATTTCGTTCCAGTTTTTGCTTGAAAAATAACAAACGATGAATCGATTATCAGAATAGTCGCAGCTCCATTTCTTGTGGATGCATTGTCAAAGGGAGCGAGAATAGTTTCAGCTTGATCTTGACAATCTGGAAACCATAATGTAGATTGGAGTCGAGCCTTGCAACATTTCTGACAACCCCAGTGAGCCTAACAAGGAGCAGGAGACGCAAACACACTATTTTTGGCTCAGTGTTGTGGGGCTAGTTGCCGGAGCTCAGATGTTTTTGGTGTTGCTATGACAATTTTGACAATAGTGAGGCAGAGCGTCAGTAATGTGGAGGCTGAGGGCGGCGGACAGGAGGAGGTTTGGAGCTATTCATCGTCCATTTAAGCAGAAGACTTTGACAGAGGAGGTTCAGAGGCAACAAGGGCAAGAGGGCAGAAAACAACGTGCATGTGTGTCAATGAAAGAGAGAGGAGAGGGGGGGAGAAGAGTCATGGAACTGTTGGTCGTGAGTTTTAATGGCACACTGGATTGGCTTCCTGGTCTTTCACAAACACGAAGGAGAAGCTGAAATGAAAGAAACAGACAGCAGAGGGGAAAGAATTTGGACGGCTGCTAATAAAGTTACTGTGATAGGAAACAGCTGAGCGGATGATGAGGGATTAGACGTGAAGAGACAGAGACGGAGGAGAACGGAGGATCGGTCGGTAGGGTCTACATCCAGCACGGAGAAGACGATCTGAGGCAGGACCGGGTCCACGGTGGGTCCGTCTGGAGGCTTTAAATTCTGCTTTCTGCAGAGTGAGGTGGATCTTTATGTCAGACAGATCGTTTCCACAGAGACGAGGTCGTCTGGTTATCAACAGCAGCTGTCACTGCTTCGCTTTAACGTCAATTTATACATTTTATAGACCCTGAACATGGCGTACCAAAGGTGGAGGTGTATGTGTGGAAGTTGCTTCATTAAAGCTACATTAAAGGTTGCATCGGAGGGATTTTGACTCCTGACCTTCGTATTTCTAAAACTGTGGTTATGTTCCTGGAACCGAGTATTGAACCTCGATACCTTCTGGGTGTCATGTCACCGAGTATTGGCATCAAATGTCCGGTCATCAAGTCTTCATCCCGTAGTTTCAAGTTATCTTATGTTGTTTTGTGGTTTTTACCCACATTTTCTTTCTTTTCTGTTAATAAAAAACATGTTAATACATTTTTATACATAATTTGAACTTTAAAAGTATTACAATTATTATTATTAAAGTATCATATTGATTTCTTTCTTTGAACAATACACAGCAGCAAAGATTTGTCTCTATATTACAACAAACTCAGTCCCTAAACCAGAGTACACAAGCTGCCTCTAGCAGCACACAGAGGAATTATAGGAAATGAAATAAACATCAAACCATGAAATTTAATTCAAAACAAGTTTTGCCTTTGCTGCAGTATTTTAGTATTTAGTATTTTAACATCAGCCTGCTACATAATTAGTTCTAGTGCTACCCCTTAATGTGAGTGTCAATAAATCATCTTATTAGGAATAAATATAGCTGAATATGGTCAGTATGTTACTGTATTTAACGTTGGTCATAAAGGTGGAGAGGATAATATTTTCTGAGGTTGTTAAAGGTTTGAGAAACACTCCACATCATCAGTGTCGCAGTGAGATATCTCCCAGCTCTGTCCTCTGTAAATACACTCATCAATGTTTCTGCAAACTTCTCCCCAACAACAAACACTAAACGGGGCACAAACTCATCACAAGAGTGAACGACCCTCCAGCCGCTTTAAAGGTCAAACGTCCGATTTGATCTTTATCTTCAGTAACATCAAGGAGGGATCAATTTTGTAATCCGATGACAATTTAGTTGACTTACAGTTCACGTTGGTCCTGTGACTCGGTCTGACAGCCGGCCACATGTAGCAGAGCTGCCCTTGACCGCGGCCGCAGTATTACAGACTAATGATTCCCATTGTGCAGGTGAATGGTTAGCGTTTGAGCGCTTGACGTGACTAATAATAGGCGATGAAATATTGATAGGCCTTGGCAGCGGGCTGGGCTGATTGGTGTTTAATATTTAATAAGTCAACACATTTATTTCAGAGATTGACAGCCTCAGGTTTGTCTGTTTATCAGCGTCGTGTGTTTAAAGCTGCTACATCACTCTGCGTGTCAGTCTTTATATCTTTGTTGACAGTGTTTAGATCTGAGCCTTTAGATCGGGGAAGAGGGAAAGGGGAAGGCAGTGTGTGTGTGGGTCTTATCAGTTCTTCTGCCCGTGCTCTTTGTTTGGATGTGCATGATAAATCATTTGTGCCTCTTGAATTGAGGAAGTTTTAGGCTGCGTAAAGGCTGGTGTCAGTTTCCTGTGTGACTGACTGAGTAAAGGAGGAAGTGATATAACGGAAGGGGAGCACTTCCTTTAAACGCCCCCACTCTTCCCCGTGTGTTCGCTATCACACTCGCAAGAAAAGACCCTGAAGGAGCCGACACCTGAGGATAGATACACCGTCGACCTGCCTAACCTTTCCTTCTCTCTTTCTCTCCATCTGCAGCTCCCCCTCTCTCTCTCGTGACTCAACGAGGTCAGTCTTTACTACGGTAAGATCACTTGTAGTCTCGTATCTGACTCTTTATACTATAATTATTTGGCAGCTAAGTCTCTCTGACTTTCAGTTTTATTATTTGTTGTGTGTTACGAAGGCTCTGTGTTATAACATGGAAGGAAACAAAATGAATACGTTGATTTCTCAAAGCCACATTATTGTGGTGAATCTGTGACAGTTACTTATTATTACTTATTTTAATACAATACTGAAATGACATCAGGCGTCGGATGTTTAGGAGGTGATATTTAGCAGGGTTGCCATTTTAGTTTAGCCTGTTAACATGCTGACATTCACAGCACTAAACACAACGTACAGCTGAGGCAGATGTA